ATGCTAAGCCTGTCCCAAGGAATACCCTGAATGTCTTTCCCTTTCCGGGCTTGCTCAGCTGAAGTATCAGCTATTTTATTACTCTGTCACCCCCACAAAGTAGAGTTAAAAAGAAAACTCAATTCGGAATTGAACCTATTTCATAGGCATCTACGAATCTGGCAAGCACAAACCAAATAACATTAAGGCTTTGTTATATATATATATATATACTTACAGAGTAGTCAAACTCGTCAACATCGGAGTCGGAAGCAGGCATGTCATCCCCATGAAAGTCCTCGTCCAAATCGTCGTCCATATCATCATCATCATCAACATGGTCCATGTACGCAGCAGCAGCAGCATCCTCAGCTTGGTAAGTGGACATTTTTTTTTTTTGAATAGGAACCTACATATGTAGAAAAAAGCACCTAAAGATGAGACCATAAATTAATTTTCAAAGACCATAAATTGTTTATATGAGTTGCAACTTGCAACATGTTAAATTAAGATCAGACATAATTCATCAAATATACAGAGAGTAACATCAACATCCAACAAGCAAAGCGTCTAAGGAAATTAGATCAAAAATCATTTAAAAGTTGAAGCCCAGATTACAATTTGAAATCGTAACAAAATATAGGAGGGAGCAACAGGAACATGGCAGCAAAGAAAGTAAAGTATTAGGATGATGGGATCTACAAATTCATCACCTGGGAGATGCAAATTGAATCCGGATTGACTTGCGAAATCCACCAAACTTTTTATGTTTCTATATTTAAGTTCCTTCGTTCGTTGAGATCGATTGCGAGAGAGAGAGAGAGGGGAGATTTATTTATTTTATCTTCTTCTTTCGTACATCTCTGGAAAAGGACGGACGGTCCCTATTTTTTTCCATATTCTTAAGAAAAACTTCTTTTTATCTAACTGTTTTACCATTTCACCCTTCATCATTCGGGTCCATGAATTGATTAAGAGGGGGCTGATTTGTCTCTGTTGGCAATTTAATATTTTTCCTCCCACGATTCAAAGCTCTAATCATTGACAAAAACAAAATCCATTATCTCTACAAGATACATCACATTCCTAACTACTAATATGTTACTATATTACTACAAGTTTAAGCAATCTATAGTTTATTCCACTTCACTAATCTTCTTTCGTGTTGGATATACATAGAGATTCGGTTGTGTTTTCCATAATCATACCTTGAACCAAAAACACTACTTCATACGTCTTTTATAACTGACGTTTAAGGACTATGTAAATAGATAAAACCAATTAATTTTGTTTCATTTTATAAATAAAAACATCATTAATTGTTTTCTGTAATCATAATTCAACCAATAATAAAATAAAAAGTATTATATCATTGGTCATCTAACATCTAATATCAATTATAAATAAATTTTACATTAAAATTTGGAACAAATTTTTTTTTTAAAACGTCAGATATAAAAAAAATAGAGAGAGTTTTTTATAATATCTCTCATACTATGCATATTTACTACACTGATTACAACATAACGATTTGAAATCAGCTTTGACACTCTCAAGTCTCATCTCAAATCTACATTATCACCGACATGATCCACCATCAGAACATTTTCTCTGTCCCTACATTCTTCTTTTCTTTATTAACTTAGAATGGGAAGCAGGTGAGACATATGAGAAAGAAAGAAAAATTTGTGACCCAACTTTGAAAAAGATTTGAAGCTACACTATAAAACATCTCCACTATAAAAATCTATTTTCCTTTAAAATAGAATAACTACATAAATTTAATTGAATTTTTACTTCAACATCACTCTGTTTTAGAAAGAAAAAATAGATAAACTTATTATTTTCATTATAGAATAAAAATAAAATAAAGTCGAATATTTCTCATTTTAAACATCATTTTAGAGTGAAAATAAAGTAAGACTGAAAATGCACTATAAGCTACCATATAATCGTAAGTCTAGACAATATTAATGGATCACTAGTTCGTACGACGATATGCATCAACTAACATGCCTGAAATTGATATTTATCGTAAGAGGATACACCTGGCCGTTTTTGTGAGATTTGGTTATACGCCTGATAGGCCAGTCAGTAATAAAAGCATAGATTTCACACTCCATAAGTGAGTCGTTGATCAAAATATTTTCTTTTGTTTACTTTTGGTTTCATTAACCATGTCCATTAGGCCACAACTCGTTAATCAAAATAACCTTACAATTTTGTAATCTTCACAAAAAATGTAAATTTTATATTACAATTTACAAATTTAAGAGAATAATCAAAGCTTATCCCTGTTGAGATTACATTAGAGGAGTTTCCAATTCAAAGAACACATGTTGCTTCACTTTCGGTTCCAACCCAAACAATCGCGAGATTCAATCGGCATCTCGTACCTTCGCTTGTGAATCTCTCCAAGTCATTGGTCTAGCTGAAAAATAAAGGAAACAAATTGATGGACTTACACATCAGTTTTTTGCAGCTGGGAATCAGTCCTCTTCCTCGATGTCTACTAATCCCACAGCCACTCCAGATCCTCGTTGGCCATCTAAGTTTTGCTGTTTAATGGAGTCTTCACTAGCAATATCGACTAATACAGTCGCGAATGAAGAAAAAATAGCTGACTCAGAGTTGTTGTCTACTCCTATGGTAACGAGTGATGATAATGAAGATATGATGCGTCAAGTAAATGGCAACAACTTGAAGTTGAATCCCAAGGCTTCAATTGAAACCCAAACTAAAACCAGATTGGAGAAAAAAGATTCTAGTGTTGAACCAGAACTAGGAGCCACCAAAGGTATAAGGTCACTTCCATTTACTGGCCTTTCTTCAATAACTACTGTAGGACTCCATTTCAGCAAGTAATTAAAGTAGGCCCAAGCCCAGCAAGGTCATTATGAGCTCGACGTCGATCAGATCCAGCGAGGTCGAAATGGCATCCCAAAGATCGCGGAAGCAGATAGAGGTGGAAAAAGGGAGCTAGAACGAAGTACAAAGGACATGGAAAAACCCTAGAGCACATCACTAATCAAATCAATCTCACTCCCTAGATTTCTAGTTTGAAGATAACCTTTCCTTTTCAATGTTGTTATCGATCTTGTTTTACTACTTTGTATCGAATCCCATATTCAATAAAGTCCATTTTTGTCAACTGAATTCCGATTGTATCGTTGTGTTTAAGAGCATCGTTGCCCACATCATTTTTCTTCCCCTGAATAAACTCTCGATCACTACAAAATACTTAGTATGGATTTTAGGATCTACATTTTGGCGCCGACTGTGGAGAAGATAAACGAAAAACACCCTTGCTAAGAACCAGATCTAGGATTTCTAAGCACGATTATGGATCCCAACGCAATCAACCTCGAAAACGCCCAATCCAGATCTACCAACATCGATCCCACCGAAACCTCTCTGGGAATCGATCCGGCTTCCGTCGATCAAACAACGTCAACGAAGCCACCGACGTGACCCAAAATCAACAAGTTCCATCAAATGGAATTTTGATCACCGATAGAAGTACGGTCTCAGATCGAAACCTTCCCATTGATCGAATCGGACTCGAGCGTGGAATCGTACGATGGACAGAACGACACCCAAAGATTCGACCCGAACAGGGAGAGCGAGATCTCCAACTCACTTGGCCCGAACTTGAGACGAAATAGGGGAACTCAAGGGAATGATTCCGACGCTCATTGATAAATCTCGAGACCAAGAGATCGCTCACCGAACCATCGCCAGCCGCCTGGAACAGACCGAGAGGGAGCTCACCAAATACCGAGCAAATCCCAGGGAAAGAGTCTGACAACACTCGGATCCATCCCTGCGAACACCGTTCCCTCGAAACCACGGAGCCTTTGCCTCCCCCAAACTGGCCAGCACCCGATAGGGACGCTACGTGGGGGAAAGTTTGCGACATACCCCCCGGAAGGGACGATCTATCAAAGTTTTGATAATAACAGTCAGGGTGAGGTCGAAAACGAAATGCAAGGCATCAGAACTACCCCAATCCCAACTCGAAATGGACCAGCACAAGCATCTCCGCCGCAACATCGAGCTCGAGATGACCGATTATCCTTCGGAGGCGACGTATCTCATTGAACAAGACTGCAGCACCACAGGATCCCATACCGGCATATAATCCATTTAGATAGTTGCATGAAAATCCACAGGGAGACGATCAAAGATCTCCGAGTCAAGCAGGAGCGTTCCGAAACTACGTCAAAAAGAACGACGCCGAACTCAAGAGGATAATTGCCATCGTACATAGGGTAACAAGCTTGGCCCCCAATATTGATCAAGTTATCTGCCAGACTCCATTCACAAACCGAATAACCCGTGTAAGGTTACACGACGTCGGGAAGATCAAATTCCTCGAATATTTGGGTAACTCCGATCCGAAGGCACACGTGCGAGCCTTCCGGTTGGCTGTATCGAGAGCGCACCTCAATGACGAGGAGAGGGAAGGGGGCTATTTCCGTTTCTTCCCCGAAAAACTCACAGGCCCCACCCTGGAATGGTTCGTCGGGCTCGAAGGGAATTCAATCGATGACTTCAACCAACTCGTATCAGCATTCTTGAAGCAATATTCAGTGTTTATAGAAACGCGTTACACCAAGCCGACCTGTGGAACCTCAAGCAAACACCCTTCAAACCACTGAGAGTTTACATAAATAAGTTCAAAGAACTCAAATCCAAAATATCAAGCCTAAACGTTAGCAGCTCTGCAAAACGGCGTCTGGTTTTCTTCTAAGTTTAGGGAAGAAATGACGGCCGAGCTCCCACTTCACTTGACGACTCACTGTATTGTGCATCCTACTTCGCAACCCTCGAAGAAGAAATAGCCGCCTTGAAAGAACAATACCATGCCAACAAGAACGGAATAACGAAAAATCCAAATATTCCGAAAGAACAAACTACCAAAGGACATCATTCCTATGCCATAGACTCGTCGTGGAAGACAAAACAATTGACGTATGACCCGAGAAAGTATTGTGCCTTCCACAAGAAAAAGGGCATTCAACCAAAGAATATCGAGCAGCACTACGCAATAAGGAAGAAAATAATGAAAATGGCGAGAACACAAAAGAAGAAGAAACTCCGACAGCCCAAAAAGTCAAAGGTAAGGGCAAAAGAGGCAGATAAGTCAAACTAGAAACGCCAGAATCTCCGCCTCCAGCCCCAAAGAAAAGAGTTGACATGATCCAATGGGGGTCCGAACATAAAAATACACCAAATCAAACCACGGGACAGATAAGTTTCGACATCACGATGACAGTACAAGGTCTAGAAGAACTCGATATGACATGTGCTCCTCCTCTCAACCGAACAACCAGATGCCACCACGAACCGAAGAAGAACAACAAGCTCAACACGTACTGACGGCTACTGGAGAAACCGATATATATGAAAAAGCACAGCCCACGTTTACTTAATCCCAACCTGTCCGGGGGCGAGGATACCACCAGCCGAAACTGACAAAAATTGGCACTTCCCAATGCACCACCCAAAAAAGGAAAAAGAATCAACTTCATTTATGGATGATCGAGATTCTGCAACTCAGTCAACTCCATCAAAGTGCACCAACGAAGAGCGGAAAGCAACATCGGCATACGGGAACCTTTGTCAGGCCCCTATCACGAAATGACCTTCAACAAAAATGAAACCGCCGATTTTGATAAACCTCATGACGACGCACTTGTTATACGACTCGACGTTGGAGGATGCAAATTATTCAGAATCATGATAGATACCGGAAGCTCCGCAGACGTACTCTTCTACGACGCATTCAAAAGAATGGGATTCACCAAAACACTTCTCAAGCAAGAAAGAACCCCA